AACTCATTTACTTCCATGTAGACCTAAAGAATGCCCATAGTCAATAAATCTTTTACCAGCATGCAAACTTCTAATCCTTCAACGCTTATAATTAAGAGTCTGTGATTGCTGATCTATTTAGTGTTTAGAGGTAAACAGTTTGTTTTAAACAGTTTGTTTTACTGATAGAGGTAAACAGTTTGTTTTACTGATCTAATTAATGCTATGGTTAATCATTACTGCTGTTGTATACGTGTTCCGACACAGCTATGCATTGCAACACCTATCAGTTCGAAAGCATGCAAATGAGAGTAGATAAATAAGTACCACAGAAAACCTGCATTAGGCTCCAAGCTGGTTCTGAACTAAGGTCCTGCAATAACTTTTTTTTCCAAAATAAAGAGATTGTGCATATTTATATATTATATAACTAATGTCATATTGATTTTGTTCCTTTTAGATTTTTCAATGTATTGTCCCATCTTGCTCTATAGTTTTGTTCAACCTTCTGTTAAGCTATCATGCTGACAAAACAACTAGTTGGTTTTGCAAAAGATTTAAACTGTACCCAATAATTATAGATGCAGAGGTTTAGCAATAGTATTGAATAAAGCTCCTATAAATAAGGGGCTTTTAAAAAAACATTTTATTCAAAGAAATGTTTTCATTGTGATTTGAGCTGATTCCTAATCTCATCTGTCAAAGCTTTTTTTTTCAAACAAAATAATAGTAATAGCAACATGGAAAGAATGATGATGATGATGATGATGATGATGATGATGATGATGATGATGATGATGATGATGATGATGATGATGATGATTGAAGAATTTGTTTCTTATGAAAAATGCCACAAGTTCAATTCAGTTTCAACAATTCAGGCCCTGCCTTCTGAATCACATATGGTCCATTCCAGGTGACCTTTTACCACACGATCACTTGCTGTCCTCCACATTCACCCAAAGAAAAGTGTAACTGGTTGCCACTTATTGTTCATCATGTTTCAGCTCTTGATCCGGCGGGGCCAAAATACACAAGAGCCAGCCCTGAGGAGCGTCTGGATCCTGGGGATGCTCTCTTTGTAGAAGCCATTCACACAGATTCAGATAGTAAGCTAATGACCTGCTTTCCAATCATATTTCAGTTTTATTTCTTTTTAAAGACAATAACATTTCAGGTATATTCATTTCTAAAATTGTTTTTGTATCCTTCTTGTTGACTATTAATTTCCACTTTTTAAGGTGTGATAATAATTGTAAATAATAGATGCTGTTTGTCTGTTATAGCTACACTATCTCATCTTACTTCTTCTGATGGGGTGACTTTGGGTTTATGGACCAACAATTCCAGGGTAGTTCTGTATTACCTTGAGCTCTGAATGGGGTTGAACTCTGTCTCTCAGAAATGGTATGCAATCTGGGCAGCCTCCTGCTCCTTCTGAAGCAGCAGCTGATTTTGTGACCCAAAGGGCTTTCTTTTTACAATTACATTTTGGGTGTTAATTGTGAGCATTCCAGAATTGGGAATTCTTGCTCATAGTCACTCATCCCCTAGTCACCTGCTTAGATAATTGTCAATGCTGTACAAATAGAATGCCTTGAAAAGCATTTTAAATATAAAGCTGGTATACAATGTAATGGTCTGGACTGTGATGGGATATCTGGTTACCCATTGGTGACCTTACTGCTTTCAAACTGCACTTGTTGCCAATCAGCATCTGGTCCACTAAAGATCCAGATCTTCTCTTCTATGCATCTGCTCATCTACTCAAATCAAAGAGTGTCACACGTTTTCTAAGTCCTGTCTGTCTAGGGATGCTATCTGATAGGACCTTGGAAACAAACATTCTCAATTACTGCTCCTACCTTTAGAACATTCTCCCTATAGAAATCCACTCTATTCTTTGTCTCTTGGATTTCAGAAGAACAGTTATGACCTCACTATTGTATCTGTCCCAAAAGGAAGGAATTTTGCAATTGTTGGGGTGACATGGCACACAAATGGTTTGGGGTCCATCCATCCTCCCCCCTCCATCACTGTGATACTATTGGGATTTTTTTAGCTTTTTTAAAAAACTGCAGTCTGTCAAAGTTCAAACTTCTTGATAATGCATTTTGCAATTTGCAATTAAAGTTAATCAGTAACTAGAATACTTTACACAGTTCAGTTGCATGCATATTTTGTGTGTTTCAACAGCTGGTTTTCTTTTATTTGCATGGCCAATAATTGGAACAGAATTAGATGAAATATTCTGGAAAAAAATTATTTTGTGAAGAGAACTGTTTCGTGCCTATAGGTTTCTATATATGTGTGACCAGTGCTTCCAGTTACAGCTTTGCTATAGATAACTATCATTTTAAAAGCAATTCTAACATAGATTTTTTTCTAGATTTTGGTATTCGAATACCCGTGGGGCACATTGATTACTATCTTAATGGAGGGAAAGATCAACCTGGATGTCCCCGTTTCATATTATCTGGTAATAATGGTTATTTGAAGCTGCTTTTCTGTCAAAGCAATGTACAGTAAATATAATCTCATTAGGAATATCTGTATCAATAAATGGGGATTAATAGGAGGTTGCCAGCAAAGTTCAGTAAGGGAATTTAAGAGGAATTCTCTGATAAGTTTTCCCTTTGAGGGTTTTTTCCACTTTCTATCAAACCACAGCACAAACTGAGCAGGCAGCAGTCTCTTGTTTTCTGTGGAGTTTCCATGTCTATGAGATTCTACCGGTATTAAGTAGTTTCCAATAGTCAAAACAGCTTTTTCTCCCTTCTTCTAATAGTGTTTAAGGACAGTCTCAAAGTATATACAATTTGTTAGACTTTGTCACTCGTTATTTTGGAACGAATACAGAAGGCTGCAAAAACTGCAGAGGCAATCAGAGTAGCTATCAATATTGGGGATATTAAAAGCCAAGCTTCTACAATATTCTATTGACTCAGGGATAAGTGGTAAGCAATTCAGCAGTGGGAAAAGGCCCTTAGTCAAGAATTTGTAGTTAAATTTGGAAAGCTGCTTGTGGCCTGGCCAGCCTCACGATTTATTTGTAGAAAATGCAAGAGCATTTGGACAGTGGTCATTTGAGCTGGACTATACAGACTATCTTTTTGGTATATATTAATTTGTATACCAGAAATGTATACATTAATTTGGATTCCTGTACTGAGTAGACTGGTGAACTCAATAGTCTATTCAGTGTTTCTCACCTTCAGCAATTGTAATATGTATGGACTTCAACTGCCAGAATTCTTCAGCCAGCATGTTGGCAATTGAAGTCCACACATCTTTAAGTTGCTGAGGTTGAGAAACAGTAGCTTCATAATCAAAGTGGTTTGACAATTAGCAAAGAAAATTTTGTGCATAGGATAATAGGCTAAAATAGTTTCAATTTCTACTTGTGCTTTAAAATCCCAGCAAACCAAAAAATAAAAAAATGTATTTTATGTAAGCTGTAAATGATTTATTTGCTATTCTGTTAGATATAATGGAAATTTCTAGTTAAAGCATAAGAACAAATCAGTTAAAGCTATATTTAATCCATTAATTGAACTCTTCCTCAGAACTGGTTTAAAAGCTTGTCATCTTTTTGAATTAGAAATCTATTTCTCTTAACTTTATATTTTAGCTTTTCACTTCACTTTTTTAACCAAAATGATTTAGATTTTGTTAAAAAAATGATTAGAAAACCACTGAGTTAATCTTTGGTTTTTGGTTTTTTAAAGGCAAGGAAAGGGACATTCGTCCAATTTGGACCATTTTGAGCCATGGTGGCGCAGTGATTAGAATGTGGTGCTGCGGGCTACTTCTGCTGACTGCCGGCTGCCTGCAATTTGGCAGTACAAATCTCACCAGGCTCAAGGTTGACTCAGCCTTCCATCCTTCTGAGGTCTGTAAAATGAGGACCCAGATTGTTGGGGGCAATATACTGACTCTGCAAATCGCTTAGAGAGGGCTGAAAAGCACTGTAAAGTGGTATATAAGTCTAAGTGCTATTGCTATTGCTATTTTTAAAGAAAAGATTGCTATAGAAAAGATTGTATATTTGATGTCCAGGTTAAGGCATCAGGCCAGAAACTCTGAGAACATATGGCTCAGCACTAATGGATGACTTTGGGTCAGTCATTCTCTCTCAGCCCTAAAAAAACAGGCAATTTCCATTTTGGAAAAACCTTGCCATGTAAACTGTAGGGATTAGCAATCAAGACAAGTCAAAATCGCCAACAACCCCACTTCCCTATTGACAGGGCATTTCTCACTTTTTATTGCTTTTCAATTGTTATGCCAATTAAAACTTTTTAAAAAAAAATAGTGAAACTGTAATCAGATTTATATTTTAATGGCTAACAAAGACATTAAAAATAATGAGAAATGGCATCAGCCACCAAAATTATGACTAATCTGTAGCTTCATACACTCTCTTCCCCTTTCTAGGCTACCAGTACGTGATCTGTGACCATCTGAGGGCTGTGCATTTCTACATCAGTGTCTTGAAAGATCCCTGCCCAGTGATGGCTTTCCCTTGTTCCAGTTATAAGGATTTCTTAGCTGGTCACTGTTTAGATTGCTCCAATCCTTTCTTGTTCTCCTGTCCCACAATTGGTATGTTACCTCTGCAGTGATCTCATAATCTAAACTTTGAGAATTTGGGATGTGAGTAGAGTTAGGATATGGCAGGTCTTCCATCTTCTGAGAGATGTGCTTCCCATTAGATGACAAATGAAATCAAGTTGGGGACATAATATTTTATTGAAAGTTCTGTCAAAGCTAAAACTTGCCTACCCCAAATTTAAACAATTCTAAAATGTAAGTTATTGAAATGTTTTATTCCAATTCCCTGTCGGACTTTGCTCTTTATTTTCCAAGTATTCAGACAGTAAATCTACATTTAAAAGAAAGCAATTTTGTTCCCGTTCCCAAATTTATTTTTAAAAAAGGAACAGAAAAAGGAAGAATGAAATATCCATATTTACATCAGAAAGGGGAAGAGAAAGAGCAGGAACCAGTTGTTGTATTGAGGAACTCAGTCCAATCCTAAGTCAAGATTCTTAGAGTATTTCTACAGTAGCAAATTTTGGAACTGATTTTTTGCTGTCGCAACAGGAAAAGCTGCTAAGACTTGTTCTCACCCTCTTGCCTATCCCCTGCCTGTCAATGACATGACAGTTACACATCAAGCCTGCAGAAAACATGGTCTGGAATTGAGAAGAGCATAATGTAGATGGCAATTAAAATAGAGTAGTCAGGCTGCCTATTGTGTTTAAAAATTTTATTTATTTATTATTTATTTGTCTTGTATGCCGCCCCCTCCCGAAGGACTCCGGGCGGCTCACAAAAGACAAGGGAAAGGGGGGAAACGAGACAAAGACAACATATTAAAAACAAAATCCAACATTCACAATTTCCGTGGAGGTAGATGCTTCTCAGCCACCACCCCTCAGCCTGCTGGAACAGCCAGGACTTGGTGGCTTTGCGGAAGGCCTGGAGGGTAGTAAGGGTCCGGATCTCAATAGGGAGTTCGTTCCAGAGGGCCGGAGCTGCAACGGAGAAGGCTCTCCCCCGGGGTGTCGCCAGCCGACATTGGCTGGTAGATGGAATCCGGAGGAGACCTAACCTGTGCGATCTAATTGGTCTGAGAGAGGTAATCGGCAGGAGGCGGTCTCTCTCAAAAATGAGCGTATCTTATAAGACATTTTCTTACTTGCACTGAACTCCAGTACAAATATGCCAGAGCAGCATTTATGTTTTTGCTAACATCTCATGACATTGTCTTCATCTCAGAGTGTCTACTATATAGGCATGCTCAAAAATTCAAGACATCAGCTACAAGGGTGTGTTTGAAGCTCTAATGTGCAATACACCTAAAAATCAGATGGAGCTAATCTTACAAGCTGAGTCTTAGTTGAGATTCTAACTTTAAGCATAACTTAACAAAAACTTCTTCAGTGGTAATATCAACATTTTTTCCAAATTAAGAGTGGGCTTGTAAAAAGGAGACTAGTAAAAACATACTGTTCCCCATTTTCAGCCTTAACATTCCCAACCATCTATACAATGACCTGAAAGCATCCCTTTTCAGATTTGGCAGGGTGGGGAGTTAAAAGATAGAAATGGAAATGGTCTGTTTTCCAAAGGCCTCTGTTCCCATTGTCATAATTCTCTCATTTCTGAAACTGTCTCCCCAAGTTTGGTCCCTGCTGTTTTCTAGTTATTTCACCACATCCTCAAAAAGGTTCCTGCAACTCTTTGAAAGGTCTGGAGCCTGCAGTTTGACCCACAGTGCCCAAATATTGCTTGCACAGATGGAAGAGAAATATTGTGTGCGTGGCTTCTTGAGTCAGTGCTATAGCTGGCATAATTAATGGATAAGAGGGATTTCACCTGATTCACAAACATCTGGATTTTTCCTCTTCATACCTAATTTTGCTATTTAAATGAAAAGTGAGACCTACAAAATCTCAAATTTGATACCGATATTAACTGCATGTTTACTCTTTACTTATGCACCAGAGAATTCAATTTTCTTCTGTATTATAATGTTGATTTAGGACTTTTGGACAATGGAGGACTCAACATGAAAATGTTACCTAGAGAGGCTAAAGTTTACTTGGCTACAGCTGCATCAGCACCATACTGTGGTGAGTACCCATATTTTTCAGAGTATAAGACACACTGGAGTATAAGATGCACCAAAGTTTTGAAGAGTTAAATGTTTTAAAAAAGAGATTGCACCCTGCAAACCTCCCCAAAACAGTCTGTTTTTCGCAAAAATGGGCCCATTTGTTTTCAAAAAAGGGCATGAATAACCTTTAGGAGGCTTGTAGAGTGCTCCTGGGGGGGTGAGAGGGCCAAAAATGAGTAAAAAATGGGCTCATTTTTTGCAAAAATGGGACCGTTTTGGGCAAAAAAGGGGGCATGGATAGCCTTTAGGAGGCTTATGGAGTGCTCCTGGGGGCTGGAGGGGGGCAAAATTGAGCAAAAAATGGCCCGTTTTTTGTTCATATCTGCCCTCCCCAGCTCCCAGGAGTTCTCCGAAAGCCTCCTAAAAGCTATGCATGGCCATTTTGGTGAAGGGTGGTGGTGGTCGGGAGGCAAAAAATGCTATATTCAGTGTATAAGATGCACCCAAATTTTCAGCCTCTTTTTGAGGGAAAAAGGTGTGTCTTATACTCCAAAAAATACGATAATTGAAAATTGAAAACTTTCTTGTTAATATCAGAGGACAATAATTTAGAGTTCAGAACCAATGAACCTGATAGCTTTCAAATGTAAAATGAATACACAGTATAGACAACCTTCCTCTTGATTTTGTAGTTAAAGTTCTGTTTTAAAGTTCTCCTCACTGAGATTCAGTTGTTTACACCTGTCTCTATTGGAAAAGATCTAAGTAGCTACAATACTAAACTATATGTTCAAATGAGGAACAGAGACAAGACCACATCTGGGAGAAAACTAACATTTCATTTAGGATGGTACAATTTGTTAATGGTCTGGCTGAATTCATTGTCTTTGAGATATAAGGAGAATAAGAAGGAGTCCAATCTTATTCCTACCGTATCTTTTAAAAAAAGCCAGGAGGATCTAGATGAATTGATACCTGAGAAGATTCTAGAATAAGCTTATAATGTTTTAATTAACTATTTGTGGCGTATGACTCAACAGCTCACAGATAATATTGCCTATGTTCTCCCATAATAAAAAGTACTATAGATCAATTTTTAAATTTATTTTAATGGATTGACTGGTGAGTGGGGAGGTATTCTTGCATGAGTTTACAAAGAACCTAGCAACAATTTTCTTTTTAATAATGGAGGTTAATTATGTTTAATGCTTTCTGCTGAGAATGTGTTTTCTGTGTTGCTTAGTACACCATACACTTGTGGAGTTCCACTTGCAACAGAGGAGAACTTCAGATACCAATATTGGGATAACCTTTCTCACTAGCAACTCCTCAGCTAGCACCAGCTTCATCATGTGAGTAATAATGGACAGTTCCAATGTCCTCTTTTGTTCCTTTCAGTTTGCACAATCATCCAATAGGCAGCCTAAACTTAACTAGCCAAAATGGGCATGAGCTGTCAGACTTGCTGAATCGGTTGTGTGTCAAATCTAACTCCCTCCTGACTCCAAATATGTGGTGCATGTTTGCTTGTTTTAAGCTTCTCTTGGATTCAGTCTGCTGCAGGATAATATAAAACTAACCTAGCCTGTCTTCACTTTGGACAAGCATTATAAATATGTACCCAGACTGACTAAAATTTGGGTGTGGTGTAACACTTTCCTTCTTCTAGCCCACTCTCATCCCATATTTTATTTTTCACAGCATATATTGGCAATCTTTTTTTCAGAAAAAAAAATCATCTTAGTTGGCAGAAATGATTTCTGGAACATACCCTAACACCACTCACTAACACTTATTTAATTAGGATTGTGCCATGGGTGTTTCCACATAATATTTATAATAGCAATACAGCTAGATACCTTTGTATTTGAAGTATGTAGATTTGCGGTGTTAGTCCATGAAGACATGTGCAATTGTGCAGTTGCAGAATTTTCTGTACTATTTCACTAAATGTTCAAAATTAGGGTTTACTGAAGTCTCAGAAAATTATTACTTTGATTGCTTGTGTAATTAATGGAGCCACATCAACTTTCTTTACTATCAGCTTCTTAATTGTGCAGCTAAATGAATAACCAAGAAAAATGCTAAGTGCAATCTTATATATACATTATATGCACACAGATAGTGTTGAATGTACAGCACAGAGAGAGTTGGCCAGATGCTGCCAGATGTTGAAGCAAAGCTAAGCAAACAACTGCAGTTATTTAGGAATGCTGATTTTGCTTTTCCTGCAGTGCTTGAGTCTTCCCAAGATGTTTTTCTTTCCTCTTGTACTTCAACTAATATGTACAAAATAAAGTTGTTGCAGAGAGCATAGAATTTTGGACCCTCATGGAAAATGGCCTGGCTCTCATTAAGAGTGATTCAGAGCTCACTCTGCAGCTTGACTATAGCTCTTCCCTACACTGTATTTATATTTTTACAAAAAGTCAATAAAACTTGGGTTCCTCCTCTCACACTTTATATCCTATTGGGCTTTGTAGACCCAAGCAACAAATGCTGGGCAAAGGCTTGCTGATTCATTCCGCTCCACTCTGCCAGATAGAAAGTGTGATGTTGCAGCATCGTCACAAGTTTTGGAAGAGGAACAAAGATGAACCACCTATTGTTGGGCACTTTTGTACTGCACCTCTACCCGTGGATAAAAAGTAAGCAAGGAATCCTTTTTTCCAGCAAGAAAAGTATTCAGTGATTCTTTGTTTGAATTGTAATTTATTTGGGGATAAGTTAATTAAGATGCACTTGAAGCATTTTCCTTTTTTACTAGTCTATATATTTATTTTAAAATATATGAGATTGGAACTCTGGTTGCTTTTATATTAAACCGTCTCAGAGGCACTGGCCAACTCCAAGCAGCACCATTTCTTTAATTCATCTTTTTTGAAAGCAGTGGTAAAATCATTTTTGCTTGTGCCAACTGTAAACTGGCATAATATTTGCTTGACATGACCTCAGTCCTTATCTCATCACCGTAACTATTGCCAAGCAGTAGCATTTGTATTTGTTGCATGCAGGAGAAATTAAGAAAAGGCTTAGGGATTTCCTCAGTTTCCTTTCCACCCATGAAATGTCACCAGCTAGCATTAAAATATTCACCACTTGTTCTCCTTAACATGAGTTGGTGGTGGGGCCGGAGCAGTGGTGGGTTCTGGCAGCCACTACGCCGGTTTGCTCAGGGATGCGCTGCATACGCGCATGCACAGTACAATGAAAATTGCTATGCGCAGAAGCCAAAAACAAGATGGTGGCACCTATTGCACTGCTGGAGAACTGGTTCAGGGCTTTGGCAGGCCTGGGTCGCTGCTGGTTCCAGCGACCCACACCGCCAAGCTACTACTGGTTTGGCCGAACCAGGCCGAACCAGTAGGAACCCACCACTGGGCTGGGGTGAAAGGCAAGAACAAGCAAAACAAACTGCCACAATTTGTTCCTTGCCTAATTTAAGGTTCTTCAAGTATGAATAGTGAATCAGATGAAATCAGTCTCAATAGAAGAGGAACCAAACTTAAAATTAAGGACTAACCCAAATTGATTCATCTCCATTTCTTCATGTTACCGCTGGTAAAGTTGGTTGAAACCGTCATTCTTTCTTTGAGAAATTCCAAAGGCAATTTAGAAAATGAAAATTGATGAAGCCATTAAGGAGCAATATTCCAGGAGCCTTGGTTGTTGTTTTTTCCCCAGTGTATCCTTATCTTCTTACCTTTTACTTTTCTTGATGTGCCTTTTCCCATGCAGCTGAAATAATTTAAGCTTTGAGAAGCTGCTAACACGTATTAGATCAACGTGTCCTTTTACACGAGAAACATAAAGAGTGACATTTGGGAGATAAATAGATTGGAAGAACTAAGTACTTAAGAACTAAGTCCAGGTGCTTAATGCATCTATTTTGCATATAGCCAAAAACTCCAAACTTATCCTAATCACATGCTCCGGAGGCGCTTTAGTGAGCAAGGGCTGTTGTTTATAAGGAGAAAGTTGCTAACCTCTGTTATAGAAGATAACACATTTTAGCAAAGATAGCCCAGGACTGAAAGCCTACCTCTACCACCAACACAAAAAAGTCTTCTGAAAAAAGAAATTATTAAAAATAATGTCATAGTGCAGAAAATTATCTGCTATTAATTCAGAAAGGCAGGCTGAAGAACTGGAATTACAATTCTTATTGTAAATTATTATTGTCGCATGGCAACTTACCAAAAATGCATTAAAAGCTTAGTAGTATCTTTAACTTTATTCTGTTCTTTCTTCAGTAAGAAGATGACGTGCTTGCCACAAGTACTGACAATTACAAGCCATAACCCCCTTCTTCAGAATCTCAACATTGGGTGTGATTAGCACAGTGTTTGCTTATGGACACAGATATTAAAACAGGGCTGTAACTTTGAAGGTAGATATTTTAAAATCAAATCTGCGGTGTTGAATTTTTAAAATGTGTTTTCTGTCACAGAATATTCGCTTCATTTTAACTGCTAATAATTTAAGCCTGTTTTTAGTAAAATTTAACTAGCTTTATAACTATGATGAAAATAATTACAATGTACATAAAATGGAACAGCACCTAATTGAACAGGACCTATTACTAATAAATCTGGAATGAAAATAAGTAGATACTGCCAGAAAATGTACATGGTGCTAATTGTTTGAAGTTCTCCCCGTATATTACTATTCCTTGTAAATGCAGTTCTCCATTTAAAAGGAAACAAATGGCATGTTTGCCCGATGTACTTTCAGGAGTGGAAGGCCATTATCAAGAAAGGGGACATTTCATGAATTTCTCTTCTACTGCTTATCTCCATTAGCATATTCAACTCAGTTTTCTGACCCACTAGATAAAGACTTTAGAAGAGAAACATTTTCCATTTATATCGCAAGTAGTATTTTGCAGTAAATGTAAGCAAAATTCTACCCTTAGCATAAAATCTTTGCTCAGGACAACTGGCATGTTAAAAACATAAAGAATTTCTGGGTCATGTTACCTAATTCAAAACAGGAAAAGCATAGAAGATTGACATACACGTTTGGTCTGATCTTCACTTCGGTGGGAGAGTATCCATAACATCTTCCTTCTGCTTCAGCAAAATCATCCCATGTTAAAACAAAGACAGTAACAGTATCAGGACTGGTTACCAAACTTGGCATCACTATTTTAATTTTATTTTGCAAATATCTTTTTTTGTGGGTTTTAAAAGCAACACCTCCAAACTGTTAACAGTAGAAGCTTTGCCTTTCATTAATCATGTATAAAATAAAGTTTTGATTTAACTTTCCATTCACTTGGGCTTCCTAGTGTCACTTTGTTAATCTTTTCATCATACCAGTGCTTCCCGAATAGAACATGATGTCACTGGGGACAATGCTATTGAAAAGCAACTTCATTTCTATCATGCAAAATGGGTGAATTATTGAAACTAATAGTGGCATATACTGAATGCTTCATCCTCTCAATTCATTGCATCCCTATAGTTGGTATACTATCCTATGCAGGAAGAAGGAAGACAGTGTTGCTATATTAATTTATATACTAATTTTCTCTCCATAAGTTACTCAAAGCAGCTACGGTAACAATTAAAAGCCAACACTTAAAATATTATAAATCACTAAATAGATCACTATAAACTAGCCCAAATTGGAAAGGGATGTTTCCGATTAACCAATTGGGAGCAAAAGGAAAGCCTTTAAATACAGGCCTTTAAATGTGCCTAATAAATAGAGCTTGGAAAGCATATGCATTTTCAAGAGAATTTCTCCAGTTGATGTTACTTTCTCAATTGATTCATCCCGTGGTCCCTAGGTAGTTAAGTTGTGAACTGTTTAAAGTTTAAAGGCAAATCCTTAAACTTTACCCTGAAAGTGCAGATCTTGCATCACAATTATAATATGTATCAGAGGTGGGTTTCAAATCTCGGCGCTACCGGTTCGCTCGTACTCTCTCATGCGTGTGTGATGCTTCTGCGCATGCGCAGAAGTGTCTGGGCGGGTGGGCAGAGCCTCCCACTGCCACCACTACCAGTTCAGCTGATCCAGGCTGAACCAGCAGCAACCCACCTCTGATATGTATGTAATATTATACACCAGATGGCAGCCTATTTGTTGTACGTTATACCAACTGAATCTTCCAGGTAGCTACTCTCAATCTGGGGTGGAAAGTTAAATATTTAAGTTCTGTGTTATCATGGGATGCCTTTGAGAAGAATATAGCTTTAGCGAGAAGAATAGCTTCACATTGGCAAGCATACTAATGATTGCCAAAATGGAAGGAACAAATGAAAGATTGTTTTCTTCCTTCTTTGATTTGTGAAAGAAGAGAATTAATAGAACCCCCATCATGTTCCATCAATTAATTATACCATCGTAATTCCAAGACATGTAATATATTTAACATATATGAAGTGTTCAAGAATACAAACATCCAGGTGCCAGAGCAGATTGATAAATTCTGGAAAATATCCCATCACTGCCTGTTCTATGCATATCTTTCATGGTGGATCATATGGACAGAAATTTTATATATGTTTTGACACACAAATAATGAAGGCTATCCTGATTGGTGATCAGTGATCTGATTGCTTCATTCAGGTCTTGGATTCCCAATAGCTGTTCTCTAGAGTTCTGGGGTCTGAGTTGGAGCCAGAGGGGCTCGTCCTTTTGCAAGGGCAGGATGATTAGTCCTCAGGTGGTTTCCCAAAGCTGTGTGAAAGAGAATCCATAATTATTATAAGAATTAGCTTATACCTATATGTCCAGTTTTAAAGGAAGCAACTCCATTGCCCAAGCTAATATCCTAATATTTCAAAAAGTCTTTATCAATGTAGGTGATGACCAGACTGAGCCTGAGGGAGGGATCAAGCACATCATTAGCCTTGGATCCCTTCATACCCACAAGAAAACTCAGTCCAGTCCACCTTGAATACACAGTTTTGGGGGGGGGTGGTGGAAATAAAGCTGACATCTCAAGGAGAAAAGTTTTAGAATTGTAATCTTGTTGAGTTGCTACCGCACTCACTTTGCTACCGAACCGGTAATTGCACTCGAACCGGTAGCAAAGGTAAGTGGATTTCACCCCTGGTTTGGGCCCAATCTGGCCAGTGATGAGCAGCCTCCTGCTTGCTGCTGACTGGCTAGTTTGAATGAGTAGCTTCAGGGATTGGGGCATAGCAGCCAATCAACAAGGGGCTTGCAGTTCAGTCCAATGAGACAAAGGAAGTAAACTCCTTGTTGATTGGCTGCTGCTGCTGCCTCAATCCCTAAAGCAGGAGGCTGCTGTGGCCCAGTCCAGGCCAAGACTTGCTGGCCACATAGCCCCAGCCGAAGTCTTTACTCAGAAGCTGGTGGGGGGGAAGCAATTGTGAGGATCCCAGGGGAGCATGAGGCCTCAGTGGATTGGGGGACACCTTGGATAGCCTACTCCAGCAGTAAGCCCCACATGCTCTTCCCCACTCTGAGATACCCCATGTGCATTTAATGATCTGTGCATTCAATTAACAGATGCATTGGGGAAAGCAGGAAGTGATCACATTCATTTAACGTGATTCAATCAATTGAATCCTCCAGTTATGAATGAAACTGGCAGACTATATTACATTCGTAACTCAAGGATTATCTGTGTAATGAGAGTAAGGGAGGGTCTCAGGGAAGTCCTGCCTCAGCACTTGGCCACCACAGGTGCCCCCCCCATGAGGCCCATGTCATGCCCACCATGGTCACACATCCTGGGTTTGTTACAACCCTGGAGGTCAAACACAACCCTGATGCAGCCCTCAATGAAATTGAGTTTGACACCACTGTTCTAAGTTGAATCATAGTATTATGCATTCATGGGATTTTTAGCAAGATTTTTCTTAAATTGTAAAGTTATTATTGTTAAAAAGTGTAGCTATGGCAAAATATTGTTTTAAAATGTAACCTATAAAAGATTTTAAAAATAAAGCTTTTTGCTGTCTAAAGTTGCCTTGTAGTGGAAATGGACAGATAAAAATTTAATAAATAAATACATTCTGAATTCTTGATCTTTAGTCAAGTAACTCCAAATTGATTGATGAAGGTGAGCAGTTAAAATATTGTTGAAGATTTCCATTTTGCCCGAACTTCCTAAAAATACCATCACCAAATAATAGCACTTTTTTCATCAAATTGCATGCATATGAACAGAAAATCGCAAAAAAATGGGGTGATGGGGAATACAACCTGGTTAGCCTAGCCCTGATCTGCAGAATGGTTTCAAACATAAATTTGAAAATAAACAGTAACAAATAGTAAACAAGTATATTAATAATATTCAGCTTCAAACCAAAGCCTCATGAAAACATCAATTAATAGACTATACAGTAGTATGCAGCACATAATTCTAACCATTTTTGAAACAGATATTAAAGTTGACAGAGATAAATATGACAAAAGTATCATTTAAAAAATCCATAGTCTTGCTGAAAAATGAGATGGTGTAATTCAATCTTCGTGATGACAAGCACATAGACAGAAGGATGAATCTGTTATATTATTCACCCCAAACCCCATTCCTTCCCCTTCTTAGGATGGGCACTGTGTGAGGGGATACTGCAAGATTTCATGACAACTGGCCATGATTCCATATGATACCTGCACTGATTATCAATGTGTTCTTCAGCAAATTCAACTGGATCTATGTGTTTAAACCTGGAAAGGACAAAGATGCAAGAAAATTGGAGACTGTCTGCAAATCCATATTTTAGGATCTAACAGAGAGGCCTTTTTAAATATCTCAACTGATGCAGGCTCAGTTCACATGGAAAAGAGAAAGGGAGAAGTTAGTGTTGAACTTAAATTGTGGAATATTCTACATCAGGAAGCAAGGTTTATTTACCAGTATCATAGAATTCTTGCTTTTTTCTCAGGATTCAAATCCATATTTACTGAGTCATAGCCTATGAGGTACCAGCTGGTTCAAATTATCCAAGTGAATTCTCTGTCAGTGAGCCATAAAGGAGATGTCACTTATCTCTTCCAGACTTCTTTCAAGGAAAGATACTCCAGCTCTAACATTCATCCAAATCGCTAATAAAAATATTGAAGAGTAACATGCCTGGGATTGAACCCCATGGCACTCTAAGTAGTATCTTCTCTCTAATTCAATGAAGAATCATTAATAAGCATTATCTGAGTTCAGTTTTTAAGCTGGCAATGTATTGAACTAATACTCAAACTATTTAGCCTACATTTAGTTAATTAACTAAACAGAATGCCATGGGTATGTTGTTGAATACATTACTAAAATCAAGATATATTATGTCAACAGCATTCTTATAGTCATTAAGGAAGCTAGTAGTTCTTCCTAAAAAAAAGTGAGATGAAGTTTGACAAAGTCATGATCCAAAGCCCTTTTCTGTAGCAAATGAACAAAGAATTTATATATTGCAGGTTCTAAGGGGCAATCAGTATGCTGCATACATCAGTTGCCCTTTCCTTGCATCTAGATATGTTTCTTTCTAAAGGCACAAAGAATACTTACTTATCCAGGGTGATGTGTGCCCATGTTACTCATTTCAAATACTCCCCTTCACTCATATAGTCCATAAAAGACCCTGTCAACTCAGCAAAATCTTCCAATACAAGACTGGTAGAGTCCTCACCAGACAGGTCACTATCAGGCCGAGATTTCCTAGGATGAGTAGAATGAGACACAGGGCAAGGAACCACAGGAGCTGTTTGGCCAATTGCAGGTGAACCACCTATAGGCATTACTGGCTCTTCATACTCTGCCTTTTCCACCTCTGTGTCTGAAGCAGGTCCTAAGACATGATAGAGGCTGGGTAAGCGGATGTCAAACTGGAGGCCAAACTTCGCAAAAAGCTTTTCATTCAAGGCATAGATCTTTTCTGAGATGTCATAGCCAAGGAGGACAGAGAAGAGACGAGCAATATAGTGCTCCTTAGCCAGAAGCAAATAGAGCTTCTTCCTTTGCCAAGTGATAAAAGAGGAGTCAATCTCTGCTGTCAAAGTTACCTGTCAAAGAAAGAAGAGAAAAAAGTTCATTTATTTGTTCTTAAAAATAATGAAGTCACTGTGTCACCTCACATTTTGTTAGATTTATTATACAAATGTACAAGAAATCCACATTTTGAAATAAATTCATATTTAATATTCTGTTTATTTGTGTACATTTTCATCTTTGAAAATGAATTTTTACAATACATTGCTCAAGTATTTCTTGAATAGCTTGGAACACAATGTACGTATAAGGTTTGTTGCAAATGTATTTTTACATTTGTACTTTTAAAAATCTCAGTTACATTGGGAAAATGGATTGATCTTTGAGATTGACAAAAGCAAGAGAAGCATGGAGAGCATCTCTTTATTTTGAATGAGGATAAATAAGAACATAAGCAAAGCCCAGCTGGGGCAGTTTTCCTTGGCCAATCTAGTCTGTTCTTACAGAGGCATACCTAGTGCATGAGGAAGCCCACCAGCCTCACAGCAGATGGTCTTTAGAGGTAGTCACGCCATCATTAAGGCTAGTAGCTTTGACTTCCATGTATTGGTCCAACCCTTTTTTGAAGCCACTAAATTAGTAGCCAGAACATGGCTACTAGCCAGAACATGGAACATGGAAATTCATGGTAATGAATTTCACAGTTGAATTGGGCATTGTTTAAAATCCCCAGGGACATATAAACCACATACAAAGATACTGAAGAAACTCTCTGATGGTCTGGTTGAAGTTTTCTGTGAGAGATGTGGAAGAATTCTTGAAGTACTAAATGCCTGAACAAAAGTCAATATTATTTGCATCTTGAAAAAGGAGAAGAAATAGATCCCAAAAGTTATAGGGCTACCAATTTCACATCAGATTATGTGATTATTTAATCACATAATTTCATATACTACAGGCCACACAACCAAGCAAAACAAATAGATGTCCTTTTTGCTAATCAGTTAACAAATGAATGTAGAAAACATACCACAGTGGTAATGAGAGATTTTAACTACCCTGACATCAACTAGGAGACAAACTGTGCAACAAGTGGGAGATCAAACAGATTCCTGACCAACCTAGCTGATAACTTTTTCATCCAAAAGGAAGAGGTGGGAACTAGAGGAATGACTACACTGGACCTTATTCTTACTAACAGAGAAGAAGTGATAGAGAGGATTGAAGCTGCAGGAACTTTGGGGGATAGTGCCCATGTCATATTAGAATTCAATATAATGCAGACACAAGCAACAGAACATAATCAAACCAATGTCTTAGATTTTAAAAGAACTGATTTTAACAAACTCAGAGAGAGTTGGGGAAGAATTCCATGGATGAAATTCTTAAAGGGGTAAACAACTCAAGAAGCCTGAGAAACTCTGAAAAATATGATTATAAAAACCTAGTCCAGTTCAATCCCACTGAAAAAGAAAATGAAAATAACCAAGAAAACCCAGCATCGTTGCACAAGGGATGCTGCTTCTCGCCGCCGCCGTGCTCTGCCTTCTCACTGCCACCTCCTCCATCCCCACCGCTGTGTCCGACAGAGGCAGCTCACGTCTATGGCGGACATAAACACGAGACGCCTCTGTCAGGGACGCCGCCGCACTCTTGCCTCACCAACTGTAAACTTCACCGCACATCACTGAGGTCTGGTCACCACAATATAAAAAAGATGTTGAGACTCTGGAACGAGTGCAGAGAAGAGCAACAAAAATGATTAAGGGGCTGGAAGCTATAACTTACGAAGAATTGTTACAGAAACTGAGTATGTCTAGTCTAATGAAATGAAGGACTAGGGGTGACATGAAAGCAGTGTTCCTATATTTGAGATGCTGCCACATAGATGAGGGTGTCAAACTAATTTTCAAAGCACCAGAAAGCAAGACAAAAAACAATGGATGGAAACTAATCAAAGAGAGAAACAACCTAGATCTAAGATGAAATTTCTTGACTGTGAGAAAAATCAACCAGTGGAACTAATTGCCTTCAGAAATTGTGGATGCTCCATCACTGGATGCTTTTAAGAAGAAACTGGACAGCCATTTGTCTAAAATGGTATAAGGTCTCCTGCTTGATCAGTGATTTGGCCTAGAAGATCTCCAAGGTTATTTATTTATTTGTTCGTTCGTGCACACATTTATTTATTTATTTATTTATTTATTTATTTATTTATTTATTTATTTATTTATTTAAAATCCCAACATTATGAAGAACATTACCTGAAATGTTCCCTCTTCAGAAGGCCGCAATGATTCCCACTCTGGGGAATCCAAGAACTGATATGGGAAAACATAATGTAAAAACTGTCCATCCTGACTTACTTTAACCCTGCAGAAAGAGAGAAAGGAGGGCAGGGAAATTATTAAAATTAAAAAAGCTGTTGTGCAATTGCTGAACAATTAAAAGACATATGATAAAGTCCATGCAGGTGGTCATTTATACACAAACAACACCATATAGGATAGAGTTGTTTTAGACATTAATATTTGTGGCAGTTTAAAAAAAATACTGTTCAACAATATCAGATTGTTCTGCACAGAATATAAGTAACATGAAGACAAGGCAAGCAGGTGCAAAGAACAGTAGCAGTCAGGAAGAAGGAAGTAATAGTGAGGCTTCAATCTCTGTGTGCAAACGGCTATTCATTCATATGCCCCTAAAAGAAGCAAGCATGTCACAGGAAGCACACTTCATAACTCTAACCAGGGCTAGTAAACAATGACTTGTTGCAAGCGGAAGGTTTGATGTGACAACTTCCTTCCCTTTCTGGCTTCATCCTTGTTCCGGAGCATATGTTCACAACAGAAGAAGGGAAAAACTTTTTAATCAAAGCAATGATGCCCCATGAGTCAACGATTCTGTCTTAGACAGGTAGAGCCTTTTCAGAGTTCCCTTCCCTCGTTGGGTATAGCCATTTTGTGTACTGGACAGCCATTTTGTTCAACTCTGTTTGCATCTACCTATTTAAGAGCCGAGGTGGCGCAGTGGTTAAATGCAGCACTGCAGGCTACTGCTAGATCAGCAGTTCAGCGGTTCAAATCTCACCGGCTCAGG